AAACTTCTTTATTCCCCACATGATAACAGCTTAAGCTGGCATGACGTGAGAAACAGCGAAACCGCTGTGTGCTTGCTCAGACCCTGGTTTCCTATCAAGAGAGCGGAGCGATGGTGCCCACCAGCTCGTTGTGCTTTTTTACTCATGTAGTTTTGGGTGCTGGTGGGGGAGTAAAAAAAATGGATATCAGTCTAAAGATCTGTGGTCTTCTTGGAAAAGTTCATGCTAATTTGGCAGCATCCTCCCCGCCCGATGATTGCTGTTTTCCATGAGTGGGCAATAATCAAGTACTTAATCAGAAAGTTAAAAAACAAAAGCGGGAGAGCACAGGAAGTTCAGTGACAAAGTAGCCCTAGACTTATACTGTTGTGTGTACATGTCAGTACTCAGTTTGGTTTCCGTGGGGGTGGGGGGTTCTGGAGAAAATGTGGTTGTCAAAAAAAAAAGAAATGCGAAGTGTGAATTTTGATGGTTATTGATCAAGCAAAAATACCACATATTCTCTGGTTCCCACTTCTGACAGGAGAAGACTTTATGCTTTTGCTTATGTCTGTTTTAGATTATTGTAAATGAAATAATTTTTGGTTTTAGACTTTTTGTTGGAGAAAACAAGACATTTGAAGCCATTCATTTGGGCTCTGTGAAATTATGATTTGGGGATTTTTTCTTAATTTTCTAATATTTTATGTAACACACACAGTCAGTCGTTCTATTATATTAGGGTCTAGAGATAATATGTGGTTTTTGCTGTACACATTGTGAAACCCTTTGAGGGAAATTTGCAATTTGTGGTGTTGGGTCGTATAAACAAAAAGGATTAATTGTTTTGGAAATTATTCTTTTGCTCATTAACTGTCTCTGCTATATGTGTAAACTGTTACAAAAATCCAGTCTTTGACAGAGGGTATGATGAAACTTGGCAACTAAAATGATTTTGGTTATCAGCTGTTGATAAATGCAATGATTGTGTGTTGCTTTTTTTTTTTTTGTCTCTGGCTTTACTTTCATTGTTGTGTGTGTGTGTGTGTGTGTGTGTATGAGTAATATCATAACCTCTTCTCTGATTCCCCTGATTCGATCTGCAGTAGCTGCTGGGTTTCACATTCCCAGAGTTAATGCCATTGACCATCAAAGACGGCTAAAAAAAAACACTGGATGTTTCTTGTTTGTCACACGTTCTGTCTGAAGTTAATTCAGTTAGCATGCTGCGCTCACATCTCAGAGGGGAGAGAGTGGGTTAGATATTGTCTAGGTCCATTCGGAGGAACCTTTTACCTTGTAAAATCCAGCAGGTAGTGAAATAAAGCATGTCATGAAAAATGTTTTATAGATGTCAGTGGTTTGGAGTTGTAGTGAAACCCAGCTTGCTCGTTGGCCTTTTCCTGGCTGCTCTCTACTGTGTGCTGCAGTTATGGTCGCTGTGGGGAAACTTTGTATTATAATAGTATACTTATTTTGTAACTTGAGTCTTATTTATTTTACTTTTAATCATGCAAGCGTTAAAGCAATCTGACATACCCTGAGGCAACAATAACAACAACGCAAAGTGGAATATATACTTATATTATTATATTAATATATCAGCACACGTTAGTGTAGTATCACAAATATTACTGTCAAACTGTCAACTAGGTTTGAAGCGTCCAATTAAACTGTCAGCCAATCAAAAACATATTTTCTTTTAATTGGAATGGGTTTTTATTTGTAACCAGTTTTCAGTTGTTTGTGGCCACCTCTGAATGCACATGTGTGTTTTCAATGGTGTGGAGCATTTATTATGTCATCAGTTCCCTCGCTAAGGTCAGATCCTACACCAAAGGAGAGTTTTTGGTTTCTGTTCAGCTGAACAAACTCTTATTTTACTGGTAAAATAAGGCAGTAAAAACTTTCCAGCTAAGCAAATGTTATTCATATTAACTGTAAAGTTTAATTTGAGCAAAGTAAATAGGGTTGCAGTTTGTTTGAAAGACTTGATAGATGGAAACATGCACAGGAACTGTGTGTGGCCTTGTTTATAACCTTTTACTACAATTTTCCACATGATCTAAGCAGTCACTTAGCACTGACAGTGGATGGAGATGAGCTCAAAGGCCTGTGTCTTGAATGGATGAGTCTCTATGAGTAGGAACAGTGTGTCAGGAACCGGTGATAACAACAGAACAAACAATGTCACAGTATTTATGACCTTAGTTGATAATGTGTGTCTGTTCTGGATATCAGTACGGGTGCTTTCACAATATATTTACATAAAAGAAATTTATGAAGAATTATTACTATTACTTAGAGTGTGATGGCGATACTGGTAGATACATTTATTGCTTGTTTAAAAAGTTGTATTGTTTACCTGTAATGTTGCCTCGGGAAAGACAACACTAGAGCTATAACACCCAGATATCATGTTGATGGATAGTCATATGAATTACGTTGTGGTTTGTGTAGAGCAGTTGTGTAACTGTGTTGTGATATTTGTTATTTACAGCCATTTTTGCAGATCAACTTGATATTGTTATTTTATATTCCTGTGAATTTTCTTCCTTGCTTTTCGTAAAGTCTATCGATACACTAAATCATACTGACAAATGCATAGATGCCAAATAACTGAACCATTAAGGTGATCTGTCGGCCATACAATATACAGAATATGCTAAAATTCTAAACTACATACATAAAGATGAAGAACACAATTTAAAGCATAAAATATGTGGTTCAAAAGTATGTTTCTAGTACTCAAATGTCAAGCAGGGTACGTTGATGACAGGACTCTTTAAGTAGACAAAATGATAAATGTAGACATGATGAACAGAATTTAGAAAGATCTTAAAAATCCTAAGTAGTGAAAAGTTTCCACATTGCCAGTACTGAACTAACCCTAACCCTAGCATTTTAACTTCTACTGGCTCTGATTGTTTTTCTCACCCCATAATCATAAATCTTTATAGACTCTTATTCAAACCAACAAATGAAACTGTGGTAGAGACTGTTCAGCACTTTGCACTTCTGTGTCTGCCGTCTGTCTTCCTTGAAACACTTTGCAAAAAAAAAAAAAAAAAAAAAAAATTGCTGACAGCTTTAGTTTGAAATACCTCCAGAATAATTTGAGACCATGCTGCTAATCCTCTTGTGATCGACCTTTGGATCCTGACCCAGTCTTTACAAATCATTTGCTGTAAAGCAATTTGCTGTGTTAAAGACACCTCTCAGCTCTTTCACACAACCTCTTACAGTCTCGATCTCCTCTTGTCATCTGAAAGTAAAGGACGCGCTTGAATCTTTGTGCTGGAAACTTTCATGCATCTAAAGGATTGAGAGTAAACAGCTTGGAAAGGGTCGGTTGCATGTGTGGATCTGGATGCCTTCTTGAGTTTTCACTTGGCTGCCAGTTGATAACGTATGACATCTGTTCACATGCGAACGAACACAACACATGGTGCCGCTGGTGAACTGAGGACTGAAAGTGATGCTGTAGGAAGTGCTCGTTTCCTGTCCATGTTTTTAGCAGTTAGGTAGAAGTTTGTAGAACTGCAAAGGAAATGTTGTATAAGGTTGGTGACAGACAGACAGACTAGATGTAGCAACACATTTGTGGAGCATTTCATCAGGCGATGCTGCTGGACTGCAGGGTTTCATTAGTGAAGGGGATGGCAAACATGACGAAATATTTATCAGCATGTGCAAGATAGTAAGTAAGAGCATGTTTAACTCATAAAACATGCATGTTTTGTTTTTTAAAGCTATGGAAATCATATGAAATGTAATTTGTTTTGGTGTGTGTGTTTGTGTGCTAAGCGATTAGGAAGGGCTGGACTTCTATCAGGAGAATGTTTTCTGGCTGCAGTGTTAAAATGTCCGTACATTGTTAAGAGTGCTGTTCAAAGGAAGTGGTCTCAATCACCCAGAGCTTAAGCTCAATCATTAGTCCCAAAATGCCACAAAATCAACATGTTTGTATTTAGTCTGTACATACTGTATCTTACTCTGTTAAGGTTGAATGTGAATGGTTTTGCTTTTGACCTGTTATTTTGATTAAAAAAAAAAAAAGCTGATTTGTACATTTCTATAGAATTAATGAACATACAGCTCGCTGCTTTCTTGGCACTGCTCTAAAAATGCTAAGAAGCTAAAGTTGTTCTTTTGTTGTGTCAATGACTATGTAGCTTTAAGTTATCAGACAGAAAGACAGAGCCTATTGTTCATGTGTACAGTCAGCCTGAGTACATCAAGGTAACAATGACAAGAAAAATCCCCACTTCAGCTCACTGCCCTGGTGCCTTTTTTTCTCTCTCTCTCTCTCTCTTTTATCGGTTTCTCAACATACTGCCGTCTACTTGTAGCACTCAGGAAGCGGTTAACCTTCATGCAGGATGGTAGACAGAGGTCTATAACGGCTCACAAAGCAAATAGAAAATTGAGACTCCAACCCATGCTCAGTCATTTAGATAAAAATAGAGAAATTGGCCTCCATCCTCGCAGAGGTACATTTGTCCTCTTAACTGAACCCTAAAAGGCATCATCTTGATGGGTGGAAAATCATGCAAGTTAATGGAAGAAAACAGAGCAGTTATGAGAATAGAATATTGCTTTTATTTTTGTTTCACCTTGATGTGAACCTCACTGTTGGATAGAACAGAAATATATGATTTTATTTACACATTTTGGCATCACAATAGACAACACAGTTTAAAGGAAATGGTGAGACAACCAGAAAACACAGCGCTTGGTTGCATGGCAGCTTGAACTTGGATCTCCCTAACTAGGCCACCAAAATGCATCTCTGTGCACTTTTCTGTGGTACATCAGGCCATGCTCACTTTAAAATGTCAATGTTTTCCCAGTGGCCAAAGATTTACTAGAAGTGTTACACTGCATCAAACTACTTCCACATTTTATTTACTGACGTATTTATTTAAGTTCCAAGTAGTAAAAGATTGTTACTGATATTTTTATGAGCAGTGGCTCAGCTTCTCTCTTTCTGTCTCCTCGCTCAGGAAGTTTACCACAGCTGAGAGGATGATGCTGACGATAATGGGAGAAGGCCACAGCCGAAGGTGCAGCCCTCGCTAGAAAAAAGATTACATTCTCTCTGAATTTCACCCCTCCACTATCACCCACTACCGCCATCCCGTCCCCTGGCGCCATGGCCAACCACCTGGAGCTGATCCAGGAGCTGCAGCAGCTGGACAAGGTGCCCAGTCTGGAGAGGCTGCGGGCGGCCCAGAAGCGGCGCACACAGCAGCTGAAGAGATGGGCCGTGTACGAGAAGGAGATGCAGAGCAAGAAGCGAAAGGCAGACAAGAAGGGACGCAACGCCAACAACCTCCAACAAGCAGAGTCCAAGAGGCATGTGTCGTTTGCCGCCAGCGTGGCGCTTCTGGAGGCATCGGCCAGGAATGATCCAGATGAAGGTAGGGGCAGTAAAGGATATTTATGATGTGTGCAAATTAGAAAGCACAAGCGTAGATTCATGGGGAAAGTGCACAGTGTTTTGAAAATGACGACACAAGCTACACAAGGGCACTTGACACACATGACCAATGGGCACACAAAATACACCCGCTGTGGATTTATTCCTGTTGTAACAAGGCAACGAACTAAAAATATGTGCTGGGGTTTGGTTCATAAGCTCAGAGTGAAACTCGGCACAAAGCTCAGTGACGCCACATTTGAATAATTACTTTAATTTCAGCCTCACCTCACTACTTCAGCTGGATATCAAAACGCCAAGGTCAGGAAAACGATTAGCCGGGCTTGCCCACTTAAACTGCCAGAGGAAGTCACTCCATTCGAACTGAATTTGTTCTGCTAGAAGACTGTTTTATCATTGGGAAATAATGGAGTTGTCACACTGAGATGAAACTCTGCCAGTCTTTTAATTAAAATTTCTACGGATGACGCCCCTCCTATTTGGAGATAATAATTGTTTTCCTCCAGTACAAACAGTCCCATGATGCTGTGGCTGTGCTAACAGTGTGTCAGCGATGCAGGAATGATAACGGGCTGCTTATTGTTTAGATATGGCATCTAATTTAACTTCTCTTTAACTTGAAATTGGATTGAACTCTCTATCATGACAAACTCAGCCCATGGCTGTGCTACTGTACGTTCTTTGCTCGTGCAAGCTGTCTTTACAGATATGGAAACAACCACGGGCGTTATGTATTTCCATAGTAGTTCTTACAGAGCAGAAGCAGCTCTTTGCTGCGTATAAACATTTACATGTGCACACATATGCACATACACATGGACCGTGAACTGGCATGTATAAACTCCAGCTGGAGTGAGAGTCAGTGGAAGCCTTGGGATTTGTGCTGTCTGTATGGCCTGTTATATCATCTATTTTACCATCATGTATAACCTAAATAAAGATGAATAAAGATTTGAGAGAAACATCTTGCAGTGAAACATCATCACCTAACTGGGTAAAAAGGATAAACTCTTTCCAAGCTGAAAAAAAATCCATAAGTTTCATCAGCTGTGTTGCTGCTTTTGCTGATTCTGCTGCTGCGTGATTACACACAGACAGAGGTGTTGTTGTGTGAAAGGTTTTGGAAATGGCATTGAAAGGTTTTTGCTGTACATGGCTGTGCTGAGTGTAATTACCAGAGAGTCTGCTGAGCCACTTAGACTTTGAACATGGATGTTGTGGCCGTTGGGGATCATGCAAGTCTTTTTATGTTGGTCTGAAATACCACGAGGCGTTCAGGGACATGAAACATCCACTCATTTACTCTCAGTTGCAGAAAATATGTATTTAGCAATAATGTATGCTCTCGCTTAAGGACGGTTCCACAAAAATAAAATACTCATCCACAGTAGCTTCTCAGAATTATTAGCAATATGGGTCTGCACAAGGTGTACGTGGGATAACATTTTTAGATGGTGCTGTGAATGCAAGTGTTCCCAAATAATGAATGAAAAGATCGCTCTCGGTCTCAAGAAGCTTGGCAGGAGAGGAACTTTCCAATGTGACAATGAGATCCCAAACACACTGCAAAGATCACACAAGAGTTGACACATGACCTGTGCAACGGTGACGCCTCACTTGACTCAAATAGAGAACCTTATTTTAAAGCAGAAGGTAGAGCATCTGGAAAGGTTCATCTGTGAAGAATGGCACACCATCTCTCCATAGATTTGTGATGTGCAACAGGGTCGAATCTGTTGACAAAAATTATACACTTGTATGCTTATATATGGTTGTTTACAGCATAATTTAATGTTATCAGTAATAAAATAGTGTCAGCCCTTGCACGTGTGAAGCCCAATAATGTAAATAACAAACATATATTTACTTGTTAGTTTTTCGGCACGAGTGAAGTTGACATTGTATGTAATTTGCAAACATCAGAATAAATGCATCAGCACGTTCGGACACATTGAGAGCAGATTTCTTTGCTTCGCTTTGCTTTGTATCACTGATATGCAGAAGCTTTGTCAGTTCTCCTTACTGCTGACAGCGCCTGGGCATAGACAACATTCGCTATCAGTGCTGTTTAATGAGGGTGACCATGAAAGAGGCAGAGAGATAAAAAAGAAAGGGAGGCAGGATGTAGTGTTGCCCACACAGCTCCAGTGGCAGCTGGCTAGCTCAGGAGCCTGATAATCTCCTCTCTCATTCCCTCTGGTCCCCAAATGCTCGATCAGGCATCATGACTCCACACGCTATGCTGCTCCAGCACACTGCTCACAGGCTCTGAACTTCCACTACAAAACAATATTATTTGACATTATCTTGGATTCTCTAGTGCGGCCATGTAAAAAGAGGAAGGAAAATTAAACGCGGATCACACTGGAATTAATTTGAAGCCTCTTTTAAAAATAGCATCACTGGTGAAATTTAGACCCCTAATCTGCAAAACAAACAATGACTGGTGAAAGTTACTGACGGGGACAGAAATAAAAAAGAGCCACCCATCATCTAATTTTTGTATGAATAGAAGGAAAGGAGGAGAGAGCGAGTGAAGGAAGGAGGGAGTAAAAACAAACACACAGAGATTGAGATTGACTTTGACCTGAGGTTGACTCTGCTGGCATCAAGGCTGTAATAAGATGAGAGGCTGGATTGGCTGGACTGACTCCTGTTTAATCCCTGATTGGTAGGAGCAGACGAGTGAGTCTTTCACTGCTCTTTTTTTTTTTTTTCTCTGTGGTTGCAGTCACAGTATAATTGGGTTAACTGGAGTGCATGCGTGTAAGCACGTACTGACAAATGGGTGTGTGTGTGTGTATGTGTGGGTGGTTATTGGTATGCACGTTTTATAGATGGGATAATTGCTGTTTCTTGTGTACTTTGTAAGTTTTACTGTATCTTGAACGGTAGATGGTGTCATTGAAACTAAGATCTTTGTACTCGCAGGTGTGTGTGTGTTTATGTGCTTGTGTCGAAGTGTGTATATTCTTGTGTGTGCATGCGTTTGTGTTTTCTTTCCTCTCTGAGCTACAGTGTCCCTGTCATTATAACTTCCTCACTGGAAGCTGTGGGAGCAGACCGTGAGGAGATACAGATATAGTAAAGCCGCAGGGGACACAATGTGCACCCGAGCCCAAGTTTGTGTGTATGTGTTTGTGTGGCCCTGACAAGGAGAGAGGAAGAAGTAAGAAAGTAAATGAACCCTGTTTGTGTTTCTGGTTGTAAAGAAGTATGTGTGTGTGCCTGTCTGCAAGCCAAAGAAACCCTGAAGAGGCTTGGGTGTGAGGGGATGAGAAAGGAGAGAGTAGCTGGGAGGAGATTGGATGGAAAAGGGTGCACGCTGAGTCTGAGCCCATTTTTTTTACCCTTTGGCTGCCACCGCTCTGAACCCTCTGCCCCCTCCCTGTGATGAGGACTGATGACTGTGAAATTACTGTGGAGCACCTCGGTGTCTCGCTGCGCACCTCTCCGGCTATTGAGACTGATAGGTTTTCTCCCCTCCGGGTCGCTGCTGTCCTGCAGTTGGGTCAAAAAGGACAGTCAACACATACGCGTACACACAGTATGGAGTGACCTGACATTTCCTCTTAACACCGCTGTGTTATCTGATAAAGTTGTCAAACAGCTCAGACATGAATGAAGGAGTCAAGAATCTTTGTGGAAAAGGAGAAAATCTTGAACAATTCAATTCAGTAGTTGGATCCTACAAATATAAAATTCACCGGAAAGAAAATGACTACAAAATGAACATTTTATGTTTACATTCATGGCCTAAGCAAACGTTCTTATCTAGAAGCAGCTCAGGATTTATGATTAAGGCAACGCCATCAGGTCAGGTCATGGTAAACATTTGGTTGCAATCAAATCATCCCAGTGATTAGCCGATTGCAAGTGCGTGAAAGTAGCATGGATGAACAGGTTGTTCAGTAATCCCAACTGATTTTCAAAGTGTCCTTAACCAAGGCACTGAACCCCTAGCTGCTCCCGATGAGCGGGTCATGCCAGAAAAGAGCCAGTCCATTTCACAGTTGCTGTTCTGAACAGGCACACTCGAATGCAGAGTGGAAAGCCAGCCGTCAAAGAGAGAGATCCGATGATTGTTTAAATATGAGGGGTAACGAGTGCTCTCTCTCCTGGTAGGCCTTCACAGTGTTGGACTGGGTTGTTGACGTGAAAAGTGACGAATAGTTTTGTAACAAATGAAGAAGAAAAGAGAGCTAGTGTGTGTGGACTGGGTAAGCTGCAAAGGAATTGCCTTTCTTGAGTTAAATAGTCAGGATAAAGTTGTCTGAATCTGAAGCTGAATCTCAATCTAGAGAGAGATGTTTAAACCTTGCTTACTTTCTCATCTTTTTGTCCTTTTTGAAAGTTACAATAAGCAAATTTTATAGAATACATAAGTAATTCAAAAAGATTCAGGGACAAAGCAGTGAAATATAAACAATGAGGATAATAAAGGATGTTGTCTTCAGTCTGTTTGTGATCATGTGAACATCAGCCATGGCATGCTAAGTCATATTTTGCCCCTCCATGAACCTAGCCAGTGTTTCCCACCCCTGCACTCTATTTATTCACCCACACTCGTGGAAACACCCAGCGCACTAATTACCACTTATTCCTCACTGAAAGTCCTAACTTGTAACTTGATGTTAGAGAAGCCACACTTACAGTCCACCTTCCATTTTTAGCCATGTGGCTTCTGCTCTTGGTTCACCACCTTTTTCTCTGCCATGTCATCACCATAAAAATACAGAGGAGGCATAACTAGATTTCAGGATAGAAAAATACCCCAGCAGCGAGCGGCGCCTCTTGGAAGGAGAATTCACGTGTGGTTTTGTCTCCTGTGTGTTTTTTTTTCTACATATTTGTGTGCAAATTAGGTCTCAGAGGAGCTTTTGTCTTCTTCTGCTGCCTTATTAGAGTGGTAAGGCCTTCTCCTCAGGGGCCTTAGATAGGCTTAGCTGCTCCCAGGCATATGGCAGCAACAGAGTGGCA